TTTTATGCAGCACACAAGAACATTTGGATTTGGTAATGAGAGAAGTCTGTCATGTCATTTCTTTTACATAGACTAATGCACAAAAAACATTATATTACAATATGTTTTAAGTGCTTCTGAAATTTGCATAACTCAATCCTTGAATTCAGGGCCGAAGTGTTTGGGGCACAAATCTGTACATCACCTGGCATGCTCCTCTGTACTTTTTACCTAAGCGCAGTATTAAGTGGGAGGAAAGAGCAAAGAGGAAACAATAAATTCTAAATAATGCGCTTGCAGGGCCATATGCGACCCATAATTTCAACATATGATATATTTAACGCATATAACCAACTTTGATTTTTTAAAAAATCTTTCCTTTCACAGTATTATACTGCATGTACAAATAGTCCTACATTTAATACAAAAATTGTAAACCTATTGGAGAACCTAGCAAAAAGAACTAACAAATATACATATTTTAGTTTTTTTTTAGATTTGCATTTTAGAAAGTGTCCTTTGTCTTCAATAATCAGAGTACAAGTAGAAATGGTCTATTATATAACATAAGTAGTGCGTAGACTTACAAATCATCGGCAATGTCTGAATACATGCAGTCAGTGGAGCCACAGTACAGTAAATTAACCGTTCTGGTGCTGAGGTTTATTTGCACATCACAATATTTTTCATAAGCTAAATACCAACAAGAAAGCAAAGAAGATTGCAATGGAAAAATAGCACAGACCTCTATTCTTAGCAGTTTGAAGTAATTTGAAGAATCATAATTGTGCTACATTTTGTGAAACAGTGCAAAATGCAGTGGTAATTCAAATCAGTTACTTAATAAGATATACATTATTGATAGACAGTGGTTTCTGGTATTAGTTTAGTTATATGCTGAACTGAAGGACTCCTTTAATCATTTATTTACTTCATTTCATTATATAATGCCTAAAATGGATCATAAAATAATCAAAACTGCAAATAAATTATGGTGTCACGCATGATGCGCTAGTCCTGATTTAAACAGAATTTTTAATAATCATTTATCGACAGAATAAACCTATTCATTGTTAAATCAGAATTCTGTAAGAGAAGTTCTTTGAATATTTACATTGGCTTACTGTACACTCTTTGCATATGCTGTAATTCATGTAGGAAAGCAGTGCAGAATAGCCTGTGGCAACTTATTGCGGTGATTAAAGGTGTATTTTCAAATAACTGAGAATTTGGAGATTTTTATATAATCTCTTAAATAAATAGCATTGTTCATTGCTGCTGAATGCTCATTGCAAGTTCAGATTTCTGGTTAGTTAACCAAATATGTACATTTTTCACACATATTGTTTGCTTTCTCTGGTTGCTAAAATGTAGTTAAACCACAGATAACAAATTTAATTAATCTAAAATAGTACACATTCTACAATTTTTTACACTAACCTAATAACTCCTCTGGTGGCTGAACCATTTCTTTGTGATAACATAAAGCAAATTAACCACTTTCAATATTAAATTATTTAGAACAAAACAAATTAAACTAAAAAATTTAAATACATTGTAAAGTTGGTTTTATCCAAACTCTGTGGTATAAACAATTTGATGGGCAATAGTAAGCTACTTATTGAGTTTTGACACTCAGACCTTCATAATTTATTTGTCATTCGTTATTCTTCATTTAGGAAACTTTTCTCACTTATGGACAAAACAGATGTCCAATTAACTCTCATTATTCCCATTGACTATCATTATTCCCATTAAGTTTCCTTTGCTTCCCTTTACAAAATTAAAGTACAAGATAACAGTTTATATAATTCTGCAACCTTCAAAAGAAAATATCAGATCTTTTAACAGTGCCTCACCTATAATTTTTTTGGCACTGGAGATTTACTACAGTGATTAGGCAAGTAGTTCCCAATTGTCAATAATTCCAATTATCCAGTGCGTTGCAAGACAGTCACAATTTTGTGCTGGAGTGTTCTTCTTTGACAATGGTGACAACAGCATTTAAAGATCATACTTCAGTTCCTTGAACGTAAATTAATTATAGAAAATGAATGATCCTGTTCACCCCAATACATAGGAATATCATGCAAATGCAGCATTATCATGGCAACATAACAATTCACAGACTGTCCTGGTTAAAGTATAGTTCAGCATTATGATAACCTATTGGGAAAAGATATATGTCAGCAGATTTCAGGTTCAAATCCTGGTCTGCACTTTTCTTTGGTTAGCCGGGTGTCTGACACATGCGGAAACCCATCACCATGCTTAAGAGTATCTATACCAAACTGAGAATTTCATGCATCTCATCTACACATGGAAATCCAGAGATAGATTATTGGTAACCTCACCTGGGATACTGCAATTGGCATGATTCTGGGTTAGGAAGGATAAAATGAGTTGGGTATAAAATCAGCCAGGTGCCAGGTCTAGCTGCAATCCACTGACTCCCGTTGAAAGGTGTGCATATTGGGTGATAAGAGCATTGAGCTGAGCTGCAAGCCCTCTCTCCTTCACTGATCAAATACCCTGCCAACACTCACTGTTCTTCAAGCTCAAGCATGAATAGTGGCTCCTGGAGGGATATTCTGGAAGGTACTAGGTGCCCATGGAACTTTAACTCGATAAAGGAAAGAGTCAAATCCTTTCAGGAGAAAAAAGGTAGAGAATGGAAGGAAAAACTTAGGTTACACTCTCAGTTATCGCTGTGTTTGTGTATCGCTCAATATTACCTCTTAGAAACAGAGAACCATGTGTATGAAGAGTTGTTATTTGGTCAATGATCAAGGTAGACCAAATGACACACTATACTACTGTGTGAATTTGGTTCAAATATATGACAAAATTCTGAAAGAGAAGCAAATTTTATTGTTGATAGCATCACTTTCCTGTCAAGCCTTGTTTTGCCACTATTCATACATCTGCTTCACATACATTTTTGTTGCTGAGTTAAAGTGTCCAAAAATGAAAGCAGAAATTGTTCTAAATTTTTTGTTTAAACCAAAGAACGAGCAGCTAAATTGGCTGCCGATGCAGTTGAGCTGCAGAGCAATCTCTTGCAATATGACTTTAACTTTTTATTTTTTTGAGTTCTACAAGTATAATGAAAATAATATTTTGCACTGACAGGCATGATTGGCTATGCAATGATATAATCAGATGAGTCAAATCATTTGGCATTCTGTGTTTACAAATGTGCTAAAGAGCTTTGAAGCCCTTCCAAAATATCTGAATATGAATAAAACTGTAATTTCCCCCTTTCAAGACTTGTCCACTATTGCTTTCTACTGACAGTTATCCTGGCAGCTGAGACAGTCTGGGCTGCACTTCTGCTAAGCATTTGTAAAGGTTATTTCTTGATCAGCTTACAAGACATGTAATTGAAGAGAGTTGGGGCTAAGTCTGTAAGATGTTCTTCGGGCAGGTTTAAAGTGCTGTGTTCTACATCACAATCACTCTATTACGCTTAGTAGAAATGGAAGAAACTCATTAAGTTACCGTCCAAATTGATTTCAAACCATTCAGGGTTAGAGTCCAAGTCTCTACCTCTGGTCTCCCATAAAATAAATTTAGGTTGCACTCGTGATAGCTATATTGAATAAAGGCTTTTTTAAAAAAAAGTAATATGGTTTTATCAATAAATATGTTCCAAACTCATTTTAACCTGTTCCTGCTTTATTTGTATTAAATGTATTTAAATATTTAAATTAAGTTTTTAAATGTACTTAACTGTATCTCTGATAATAGTTACTTATTATTTCTGTAATATTTAATCTCCAATCACTACATTGAAGGTTAAATGATATTTCAATGCAGCAGATATCTTCACCTCTAGGATGGACTGAAATTAAGGGGTAAAACTTTTGTTCATCAATATTCTTCTGTTCCATATTGTAAATTACAGATGTGCAACCCACTAGAAACATCAGGTGTAGGAAATGAAATAATATCTGAAGTATTATTGTCTGTTTGAACATAAAATATGATCTTCACTTCAGGACAAGACTTTGTGTTACAATGGAAAAGTCTGATCAACTTAAAATTTCAGAATTAAATTATGATCTTAAGCAAAATATAATGTAATCGTATTAATTTCCTCCCCAATGCAAAAAATTGTGGGGATCAAAAAATAAGGACTCAAAAAATCTGATATGAAACAATTTGTGATATTAATTGATACCATCTTATCAGATTTTGACCGTGGAGGGCACCACCGTTGATTATTATGTGGCATAGGCTGATTGGAATAAAGCAGGCAACTGTACAGTATTACCAAATGGTATTTTGGAAAGTTATTCAACCAAAGTTAATCAACCAAAAGATGCATTTTGGAAACTTCTGGTGCCACTAACATAAAATATACACATTTATAACACTTCAAAGATTTTGAAATCACCATTATTTAATGTCTAGCTTTAGACATTCCCCTCTGCTAAAAATATGCATTCCTTCAAATTTGTTGGAAAGAGCATTTAAGTGACATTGCTTCAAAAGTGTTCATACTGTATAAACAATCAGCAGTGCTGCCTGTCATTTTAATAGCAAGTCTAACGGTGATCATTTATTTAACCACTTGAACATAACATATTCTAATACTTTTCATATAGATTCTCTATTTCAACAACGTAAACAGAAATGTCTTCAACAGGGATTTAAAGTACTGGGAGCATTTACCAAAAAAGCACCCTAATGTTTGTTTAATTTTAGGAATGGTTATTAGAAAATGCATGAATGTTAAATCGGTATTATCAGGAAGTTCTGATTTTGTTTGCTGATGACTCCACTTACACTTTTACTGACTCTATAGACACATGTTCATACTCAGTCTGGTATAATTATTTAAACCTAGGATCCAGTTACATCTTTAAAGGATTTTGAAGAATGTAGAGTCAGACCCTACAGGAAAAATTACAAGTTTTTATAAGATGCATAAAGATTTTTTTAGGAGGGGTCAAAAGTCTTTGTTTCAGTTAGCTTCCTCTTGTCCAAAGGAACAGTTCTCAGGCATTTAGATTTTCTTTCAGAAATTTATTAATACATTGAAATAATTTAAATAAAATTTATTTTCACAAATAGGAGAGCTCATATCTGATTTTCAAAGCTCTATGGTTAGATTTAAATATATTGTGAAAGTGCAGGTGGAATTGTTTGAACAACCTGCCATTTACATGTTAATCGGTCAGGGTTGACAACCTTATAAACTTGGCAAATAGCAAAACTGTCCATTCTCTCTTAATCGTTCTTGTGATGATAGCATCTAATCAGAGATCTTGTGTTCTTTCTTGTGTCAGATAAATTATCAACAGCCTGAACAATGGAGAAACAAGCTTGTTTCAGCAAAGGAATAATGACTATCAGTGCTTCAGGACCATCTTCAGGTAATACCTGTGATCTATTCTGTGAGTAGATCAGGGAAGAACTGATTTCTGATGTGAACAAGGCCAAACAACAAAGTGGTTGCTTATAATAAAAAAACAACCTATACAGTTTTGACACAATTCAACAAAATATATCTCCTCTTCCATTCTGACATATCATTTTGTACCAGCTTAGTTTCCCAGAGCTGTACATAGGATATCTTTCCAAAGTTTATCATTTGTAATATGTATTGCTACTTTAGGCTTTTCAGGGGCTCGCTGGATTGCCTCACGTCGGTCCACTCTTGCATGGTGTTCTGTAAAGCTTGGGTCCTTTCTTTGTCCACTTGTACATAATCAACCTTTTCATCTGATGTCACCGAGGATGTGGAAGGCTGGTTAAAAAACACAGAACATGGAGTTGAGTGAACTTGTTCCAATAACTCAAGTTAATATACAGTGGAGCTCTATTATAATGTGGATCCATAAGTTCCCAAAATGCGGTATAATGGTGCACGATTGCCGGTCAGCTCTTCCACATTCACCATCAACACACACAGAAAGATGAAACAATAGTTGGTAGTGAGAAGCCAAAATGGCTGACTTCTGCATCCTCGGGTCGCTGCCAACATCACTTCCTGAACACAGCACATGCGCAGCATGCAGGAAGTGATGTCATCAGCAACCTGATGACCTGGAGGTCAACCATTTTCATTCATACTCAGTGCCCAGGAAGCGATATTGTAGTCTACCCATGACTATTAATGCTAAGGTTTTTGTGTACATTGTTGGAGGTGCCGTCCTTCGGACGGGATGTTAAACATAAACCTGTCTATTTAGGGGTCGTTAAAGATCCCACGGCACTATTTGAAAAGAGATGGAAGTTTCTCCCGGTATCATAGCCGACAATCCCCAAATTAAAATTGGTCACTCACTACATGGCTGCTTGTGGGACATTGCTGTGTGCAAACTGACTGCTGTATTCGCCCACAAATACACTGACACTCCACTTTATAGTATATACTGTGAAACACATTGGGACCTGCTCCTAATGTGAAAACGGTATACCGAATGTGAGGATTATTAATACTGTATTACGATATCACTAGGCTAACCCAAGCATTACTTCTAGATTACCCAATAACTATGTACTCACATATCCCTTAGTAACACCCAACAAATATAACCTTTATTTGCAGAAATTAAGCTGCCAGTCACAGTTACAGTCACCTTCTTCAGCAGGAAAAAGAAGCATAATTTAGGAGAGGGACAGTGTTCTGTTTCGATGTCCATTTGTCATGCATTTTCAGTAATTAATACATATGAGGTAACTGCATAATTTTTTTAAAAGAGTTATGAACAATCCTATGCAAAATACGACTTGTATAAAAGGGGTATTTGATGTATTAATAATAATAATAATCCTAGCGCTTTACACGTCTTCTCGACGTCTCAAAGCCTTCACAGAATATGCTGTAAAGTGAATTGATCATATATTTGTGGGCGAAACGCTGCAGCCAATTGCGCACAGCAGTGTCCCACAAACAGTCGTGGATTGAAAATGACCAATTTATTATTATTTTGTTTTGGAGGGATTATTATTAGGTGTGTGGAGTAAGGAAACTTGCCCAAGGTTTCGGCTGCCTGGAATTGAACCCAGGTGTCTCGCTTGCAAGGCGAGTGCTCGAACCACTGAGCTACAGGACTCCACATTGGCTTATTGGTTTATCATGTTGAAATGTCTCAAAGTGGCTCATTTTATTCTGTAAATAATAGTAATGCTTACATTTGATATAAAGCCTTATCATATCACTGAGACATATCAAAGCGCTTCACAGAATATATTGTAAAGTGAATTGACTGTATTTTGTGGGCGAAACACGGCAGCCAATTGCACACAGCAGTGTCCCACAAACAGTCATGAATTGATGTGGCCAAATTTTTTTTTTTAAGGGATTATTACCCACGGAGAACGATCGGCCAATCTACTTACTGCTTGGTAAACAGAGGCGTGTGGAGTAAGAAACCTTGCCTAAGGTTTCGCCCAGCCCGGGAATCAAACCCAGGTCCTCTCGCTTATGACGTGAGTGCTCTAACCACTACATTATAGGACTCCATGGTTAGAAAACTAAAGTGTAATGACTGAGTTTTGTAATACAACAGCCAGCATACCACACACAGACATGAAATGAACGATCACATTTTTATTGTGTCAGCTTTAACACACATATAAAGCTTGATGAACACAGAGATGCAAATTGAAGAATTTACCTTTCGATGAGGACCAGGAGAACTCGGCTGGAAATCCAATGACAAGTAGTCAACACTCCCACTTTTTCTGGTAACAGGGCTGCCTGTTGCAACATTCATCGGAGAGGTAGAAACTGGATTCTGCTGTTATTTAAGCAAATTAAATGGAAAATATTTGTCTTTCATTATTATGATGGCAGGGGATATACATAAAGTAATTTTTAACCAAACTACGGATTTATAGCTTTCTAATAATCATTATTACAACAACAAAAACAATTTAAACTTATATAGTACTTTGGGAGTACCTCTTCACACAATTGACTGGGAGTCTGTGTTGGGTGGGGATAGGAGTGGGAGGTGGAGGGGGAAGGGAAGGTGGTTTAAAGCTCTGTCGAATAGATAGGTTTTCAGGCATGTATTGAAGGTGGGGAGGAAGAGGGCAAGGCTAATTCAAGGTACAAAATAGGTGCAAGGGCAAGTAACAATTCAAAGAGCAGAATATTTTAGAGAACTGACGTTTATACAATAAACTCCAGATAACTTAACCCTGCCTTAACTCGTCACTCTCACTTAAGTCCTCATGCCGGCAGTATCCCAGCCATTTCCCATGCACAATATTAACCAGGGATTTTGTTTTAGTTGTCAATCTGCTTAACACATAACTGGTCGCACTGTAGAAATTCTTGTAAGTACTTACAATGTAAAAATGATCGGATAACTTGTCCTATGGCGTCTTGAATCGCAGAGGCCTCCTGCCCCACTTCCTGCCCTATCACAGGATAGGATGGGAGGCCATGGAGCGACCCTCCAATAGACCAGAGACCTCTCTGATGTAACCTGAGCATACATGACTAGTGCACGCTCAGATGTGGTGTCCCCAGCAAGTGAGTGCTGGCTGAGCGAGAGAGAGCAGCATTGAGTGGCCTGGGCGCATAAAGTAAGGACCTATAGCTAACTCGTCGCTTTGGATAATTCATCACTTGTCCCTTTTCCTTTGGAGTGACAAGTTACCAGAGTCTACTATATTTAAATAGAAACTGCTCTCTTTAAGCTACTAAGTTTAACTGGAGAAATTCTAGCTGGGCCTAGATCTACTCACTTGAAATATCATTTAGAGCGTCCAGAATTTAATTCATAAAATAACTTACAGAAATCTGACTTTAAAATTAAATCTGCACTTAAGAATTTGCCAAATTCTTGATGCTCTACAATGTTACATAGATAATGTAAATCTAAGACCCAGGTGAAATTTCTCTCCATATCATTGACAATCTACGTGAAATTGCTCTTAAACTTGCTCATTCATATTAAATCGCCTATTTGTACTTTACTTTGCTCCAAGAATGCTTGTAGTTTATGTGCAGTTTATCATGGTCATGAACTTTTGTCTTACAGTGTCAAACAATATTGTGAGATGAATGAAACAGTTTTATTTAGGTCAATATACTTAATGGATTGAAATAAGTTCTATTAGGCAGTAAGGATGTATAGTACAATGGTGCAGCAATATGCTGTGCCGTGGAACGGTTGGCTTTGATGCTACAATTCCCCAATAGTTGAATCTTGGGACTACCAGTGCTGAATGGAGGTCCAGAAACAATCAGCAAAATTGAAGATAGGGTCATCTTAATGTACATGATTAATGTTAGACTTAAGATTGGTATTTGCAGGAAAAGACCAAGGAAAGAGTCCCCTAATTGTTTCCTTGGTCAGAAAATCCTCATTCAAAAGACTTAATTTAAATTCTTTTTCTGTAAGTTATTTTATGAATCAAGGTAAACCAATTTCAAAGTGAAGACTGAATTCAATTATATATAAAGTCAGAAAAGGCTGATAAAGTAATAAAATAATAGCCTTTTAATCAAACAATTTGTACAAAAGTATGAAATACACTGTTGAAATTTTCTTTTTTATATGAAGCAATAAGATATGAATTACAGAAAATAGTCATTAGTCAATTACTGTATATCCTGCTTCTGATCAGGTTTATTGATTGCAAAAATGAATTGATCTCGAGAAAATGTTTCCAACTCAAGTACTTACCATTGGAACGTAGTTCTCTTCACTGTCTCCTGAGTCAGTGCTGGTGACACTCTGTGTTGATAAGGGGCGACAATTTTGTGAAGAAATAGGATTCATAGCTCCCCTGGAAACAAACAAAACAAATCAACAGTTATTCCAGGCTTAAAACAAAATGTCATTTGCTACTAGAATCCTAGCTAAATTTAGCCACCTGAAAGCTGAAGGGGGTCTCTTTCCATTGATAGCTTAATCCTCAAGTACATTTATGGCATCACCAATCCTTGCAAACTGAATCAGATATGGTTCAGAAATTACCATCCATTTTTAATGCACATCGCTGACCAATAATAGACAATGTATTTTAACAAAAGGCTAATCAGTTACATTGCATTTATTACATGATCTTGGGATGCCTCAGGACATCCCCCCAATGTGAAAGGCCCTAGACAAATGTGATTTGTTGTTGTTGTTATTACAGGATCAAGATTATTTAATCATAATGGGTTCAGTTGTTCTTCACCTTTCTCCCCAATCCTTTTATGCTCTGTCTCCCAATTTTCCTAAATCCTCTGTTTCCTTCTATTTCTGTCCACCACCCTATTTGCCTTTTTAACAATTTGTGGAACATCATCCTCCATCATACAGTTTTTAAGATAGTATTGTAGGAATTCTATATGATATTAACATTGAAGACAAAGGTCTTCAGACTATGATCGTGAGAAACTTCAGGATTTAGGACCAGAAAGTTCTAGATCTTAATTCCAGCAACTTACGTCCTCCCAACATGAAAGGCATTATACAAATGTAATTTTGTTGTTGTTGTTCATACTTATAAACTACAGTTATCAAAGAATGATATAAATTTTCAGCACTAAAGGGGCCGTTCTGTGATTGTAATGTCATCATTATTGCAATCCCTTAACAAAATGGGTCGGGCAAACAATTTGCTCTGCTAGTAAAAGGTGTGCAAGAGTGACATGGGTTGATTTGCTCTTTGATCCACAGTAGCACGTCAATTATCCGTATGTTTGTTCCAATGAAGAAATGGATGTGATGATGCGAGATACCAGCATAAAAAAAAACTGAAGAAAGCTCCATGCCAATTGTCAAAGGAATCTACCTAATTCTCCAGATTTGTCTCCATTCTTATCTCACCACCATTCAACCTAATAAAATAATAATCCTAGTTATTAATATTAATAATCAAAATAAATTCACTGTATATTTTGTGGTTGAAACCTAAACTTGCTCCCCTCCACATTCCTCCCCCCACTACCCCCGCACCATCACAGAAATCAAATATAGATGATATATAGTTGAGAAGATTTCCCAGTATAAATTCACATTGTTAGGGTCTGTAAATCTATTGACTTGAGAATATGAGTCTCTCATCCACAAAGATTTGTACCACCAATCAGAGTACCCGTTTGGCTATAAATTGGTATACTATCAACTACCCATCCAATTTCCCATGTAGCAGCTTCCTGATCTCAGCTGTGCTGCCAGGAGAATATATTCAGTTGAGGCTAAGTTCCCTTTTACATGGAATAAAGGAAAATTCATAGCTCTGTTCCCTAAAACAAAGCCTTGTCACCTCCTGCAGAAAGGAATTGATCACTTTATGTATGTGGTACCAATTAATTTGGTAAGGGAATACATTTGAAGGTGTGATATAGTAATAATTATTATTGTTGTAGGTCATTCACACACAGATATGCAATGTTTGTGTGAATATCTATGCAACAACACTCCATCCCCCCAAAATGAATAAATACTTACACTGGCCTTGACCATGATCTGGTAATGGGAGATTTGAAGGGAAGTTCATCAGTCATTGTATGGTTTCTTATTTCCAAAAGTCCTTGTTTGGCTGAAATACAAAATTCACTTAGATCATATGATCAACATAAGCCTAATTCCTTTGAAACTAGTGAATTTCTGTCTATCCTAAACGACCTTTCAGAAAAGCGTTCAGAAAACACTTGGATCTCTGTGGCTCAGGGTGACTGAGTGAATAGAGAGAGCTCCAGTGCTGTTCTTGAATTGAAGTTTGCATTTACACTGTTTCTCACTTTTGAGAAAATTGATTTTATGAAATTTGAACTTAGAATCTGAATATTCTTCTGTAGTGGAGTGCCAACTGGTTATTGTTGCAGATATGGAGCGAAAAGGTGGCATATAATGTGGGTGACCCTGTCCCTGTTCTTATGAAAATGGTTGGCCCAAAACTCCGCCATTGATACAGCTGATGGCTCTCATGAACTTGCTGTGAATTGTGGCATTTCAGAGCTGGTTTGCTTAGATGAATTCAAGACAGGTATTGAAGGACTGGAAAATTGCCAGGAATGAAATGATTGACAATGTGATAATTATCACATCGTCTGTTGCATCTTTCACCCATGCACAAAAAACAAAATGAGCAGCAACCTTATGAACCAGAAGCCATTTGTTTTGTTTTAACATAGGCACCTGAACTTAACAAACCCAGACCCAGACCACTGCATCATAGCCACTGCTCTAGAATTTTTGTGTCCATCTAACATAACACAGTTTTGTGTATTACACTAAGTACATATTTAACTGTAACCAGGATTCTAAGCATAAAATAAGAGTTTGATGATCTGCAGCATACTTCTGTGAAAAAAAACATGCTTAGCACCAAATATGCTCCCTGTGACAAAAAAGGCCACTGTATTAAAAAAACAAATGTAACAAAACAAACTCACATTTTCTGTCTGGTTTGAGATTACGGTTGACTGGAGGTGGCAACAGGTCCACAGGAAAGCTGGATTTGCTGCTGAGAGAGGCTGCACTTGCTTTGCGAGTGGGGAATGTAGCTGAGGAGAATCCAGAGAAGTCAAAGTGGTGTGGACCAGGACTCATGGGAATGTAGATATCCTGATGACCCTCACCAGCACTTGTAACAAATGGAGAGGAGGAACCTGGGTTCATTGGCACATAATTGTCCTCAGATTCCACACTCTCTGAGCGAGATGATGCGAATTTTGATCTCTGTGAAGAGAATACGTAGTTTTGAAAATGTATTTTTTCAAAAAAAATGGCTAGATTTCTTCGGAAAAGTCCTATGTTAGTATTTTGTAAAATTATGCCCAGATTTGTAATTAAAATAAAATCCTTGCATTTGATATCCTTCTCTCCCCTAGTACCCTCTCCCAGTTTCCCCCCTCTCCAACTCCCCAACGCTTTGAGATGTCCTCCCAAAATGAACAGCGCTATATGAAATGCAAGTATTATTTTTATTATTTATAAATGTAAATTGTTGTTGCTTTTGTACCGAAGTACACAAATGTAAACATAGCTGACACTCCAATGTAGTGCTGGGGTTGTGCTGGATTGTCAGAAGTGCTGTCCTTTGGTTAAGACATTAAATCGAGGTCCCATCTAATAATAATAATAATCCTTGCATTTGATACAGCGCTTTTCACGTCTTCTAGATGTCCCAAAGCACTTCACAGAATGTACTGTAAAGTGAATATATTTGTGAGCGAACGCGGCAGCCAATTGCGCACAGCAATGTCCCACAAACAGTCATGGATTGAAAATGACCAAATTTTTATTGTTTTCTTTTAGAGGGATTATTATTCTGCCTGTTCAGGTGACTTTAAAGATCCCATTGCACTATTCGAAAAGAAACAAGAGTTTCTCCTAGTGTCCTGGCCAACAATCTCTCAAATAAAATTGGTCATTTGTATCATGGCTGTTTGTGGACATTGCTCTGTGCAATTGGTCTGCCGCATTTGCCTACAAATACATAGTCAACCCATTTCACAATAAATCCTATGAGACATCCTTCCTTGAAAGGGACTATACCAATGTAAGAATTATTATTATTTTGAAGTTGCAAGATTGCAGGAAATTTTACAAAGTGTAGGCAATGTTTGGAGAGGAACCAGTAGACATGGGAAACTATTTTTCAGACTGTGACAGAATAAATTATTTATGGTTCTTACCAAATAAGAGCTGAAACCATCATCAACAGACTCCATGGAATGGCCATCATTACTGGTAACATGACGGGGATAATCATATGCCTCACAGGATGAAGCTGGAAAAAAATAGAAACAGTGGCTGAAAGGGGAAGACATTTTACAGATGACTAAACAGTACAGCAATGGGACTATCCTGCTCATCTGCTAAATATGCTTTATTCACCTCAGTGACTCTTTGAACTAAATGGAAGAGCCAGCTGATTCCTTAGGTGCACTACTCTCCTTCAAGCTTGCCCAAAGGAAGTGAGAATCCTCACATTTTTGTTTCAGATTTGAATCTTTATATGAAAGAGAAAGGCTTGAAGGGAAATGGAGATAAAGCAGGGCAGTGGTAATGAATGATCAGCTTGCTTTGACAACCAGTGCAGACTCGATGGGCCAAATAACCTCCTTCTGTGCTGTAAGTTTCTATGATTCTATAACCTACAGGCTAAACTGTTCTGTAAAGGTACAGGACAACGATATAGTAATCACTTACATAATTAGCATTCTGAGATACTAGTGCTTGTTTTGAATTACTGGTAAGGATTCTGAGTTACCAATGTGTATTCTGCAGAAACTCTGACAGACATGGAGTGCAAAGGTGACAGACAAGTTGACTACAAAGATGTTGCTGGCAGGATTCTTAATGTTTTTGTAGCTGGTGTCACAGTTTGGGATTCTGCATTGGGGCCTTTTAAGTCCACTTCAGAGGATAAGTTAACTAAACCAATACTCTTGTAAAACAGCATCTGAAAGTCCACTCCAGCTTTGAAAACAGCCGGAATCCAGGATGGCAGCCGAGAGACTTCAGATAGTTTTGGGTATTGTTATTATTCATCAGTAGGGAAGAGGGGGGTAAAATATATAACAAAACAGATTTCAATCACCTTCCTTAAATAGGGAAATAAATATGTTTAATACTACAAAATTTCACGCTTCATGAATGCTCCATTTCACGCTCCATTTGTATCATTTCAGGGCATTACCTCTGTGTAGCCTGTTGTTGTCCATTGCTGGAAGAGTGTTTCTTCTAGGGATCGTTGCTGCAGACACTGCTCCAATACCTCCGCCATTGTGAGGACGATGCTTGGGGCTGCCCCAATCTGGCTTTCGATCTATCAGTGTAGGCTTTGGTGGTCGTGGGGGTGGTGCAGCAGCCAATTCACCAGAACCTGTGGGTAATGTGTTATGATTTTTGTCAAGGGTGAATGTGGTTGGAGTCTGGTAAATGGACACAGGAGTTGAAGGAATATCATAGGAGTCTGTAGAAATATCACTGAGTCGCCTGCATAGTCGCCTGCATAGCGTATTGTTGGGAATGTTATAGGTGTACATCTCTTCATCTTCATTACCTAATTCAGATGAGCCATATTTGGCCACACCATTCGAGCCCACACTTCGAGGCAAATCATAACTAGCAATGTCCTTTTGCTCTGCATGTTGCTTTGCTGGTTTGGGTAAACTGTAAAAGCTATGGACATGACCACCAACTCCATTGACACAATATGAATAACCTTGTGGCAGTTTCTCTGCAGCAGTCTCTCCATCTCTCTTTGTGCATCCAGGCAACCTTATGGTCTGGGAAAAACTGGCACTCCTAAAGAACACAAACAGAAATAGCAACTGATTAGCTCTATGAGCAAGTTATGTTATAATAATGCTGTCACTTGGTACCTCACGACCTCACCCCTCAGGCTGCTGAAACTCTTGTTCATGCCTTCATCACCTCCAGGCTCGACTGTGCAAATGCCCTGCTTGTCAACCTTCCCAACTCCTCCCTCCACAGGCTGCAGATAATCCAGAACTCTGCAGCCCATGTCCTCTCCTGCACCAAACTCCGTGACCCCATCTCCCCCACTCTCACCCGACTCCATTGGCTCCCTATCCTTCAGAGGATCCAGTTCAAGATCCTGATCCTCACCTACAAAGCCCTCCATGGCCTTGCCTCACCCTACCTCTGCAACCTCCTAACCCCCTACCAACTTGTCCGTTCCCTCCGCTCAGCCGGCTCTGGCCTGCTCCACGTCCCCCGACCCACCCGCCCCACCATTGGCGGGAGAGCCTTCAGCCATTCTGCCCCCAACCTCTGGAATTCCATCCCCCAGTCATTCTGCCTCGCCCCCTCCTTAGCCTCCTTCAAGTCCTGCCTCAAAACCTTCCTCTTTGACCATGCCATCGGCCATCCCTCTTCCACTCCCCTCTCTTCTCCCCCCGACCCCAGCTTGGGTCTGTACTCTGTCCAACGCCTTGGGACGTCCTCCCGACGTGAAAGGCACTTTATATAATCTTGTTGTTGTTGTTGTTGGTACCAGTGTTTCCTGTATCCATCCAAAATTGAAGTATGAATTACATATAATTACATGGTCCATTACACCATGGAAACAGGCCATTCAACCCAATAGTCCGAGCCAGTGTTTATACTCCACTTGAGCTTCGTCCCTCCTAATCCCCCCTCAGATCATTCTGTTCTCTTCACTCTCATGTATGCATCAAGTTTCCTCTTTAATACATTGATGCTTTCTGCTTCAACCACAAGTATACATATTACTTACCACACAGTCTTATGTTTAAAGAAAACTATAATTACAGAACAAATAACGGAGAATTAATTAAAGTTTACTGCATTCTTTTAGAGTCATTGCTACATCGCAAAATGAGTGTGGGATAATACAGAAGCAACAGGCTTCTCTGAATTGGTCACCCACTTAGTCGTGCAGAGTTAATTCAGTTTAATAAATTACCATTAGGTTTTTAAGCTATTCAATTCATATTCATATGACAGGCCTAATTGTGTTTGCAGTGGTGAATTTATCTCAACAACTTGCTACTTTATCTGCTTTCTTTGTGGCTGGCATTTCTGATACACATTTGTTGTGCCTGTAGAACATTTTGCTATCAGCTAAAGCTTACAATTACAGCATTTAATACAAATAATAAAGGTCAAAATATTTATTACGTACTATGATCCATTTGTAGGTTGTAATGCTGTACGCTGTCCAGCGCCTTGGGACGTCCTCCCGACGTGAAAGGTGCTATACAAATGTAATTTTGTTGTTGTTGTCTTGACAGAAGAATGTCACAAGATGGCACCACAGCACCAGTTAAAACCACAAAATACAACTTTATCCCCACTATACCTGCCTGTCATACTTAGGAGTAAGACTTAAAAGACGGGAAAAGGATCAAATTCCTTTACTGTTTGCTAATTGCTTTTTTTCTGTTTATTGTCTTATAAACATTGTAAAATCTGATAATATCCTGATTTGCATTGCAAAATTCAAGGCAAAATATTTTTAGAGATGCATTCAAAAAAACCCTCACACTTCACAGTCTTCTATCAAACAGGATACATCAGCAGAATAAGGCAGCATGCATCAATGTCTCAGGATGCAAAGGAGTCTAATCTGTGGGTTTTTTGCTTACTACGTGCATAAAGAGGGAATTACAGATGCCTTTAATTATGTAATGAACAACCAATGAAAAGGATTCCAGAATCCTCAGTTGTAAATTACATACTTGAGGATGTCTGGAATTCGTTCCACACATGGTTTGCACAATCCGCAAATTAGGCCCCAATGGAACAAGATTCTTGTTTCTATTGAAATCACATACTCATTTTCCAAGCTTTTATGCAAACAAAACTGCAGGAAAATAGCAGGTAAATATAATGGTCACTTCTACTGGATCATGCAATATTTGGCTGACTTGACGAACCAAATTGGCCTTGCCCGTTTTGTATGTTCTAACCAGTTTCTCCTGTCTTTTCCTGTGAATCTGTTCTCCATTTTATGGATCATTCACATTCTCAAAGATACAAAAATAGCTAAAAGTTGGCTTTCTTGTCTATTCCCCACTTGTGCCTTTATGTTAAAATAAACTTTCTATTTTGGGGTTTTCTTAAGGGTTTGTGCCTCTCCCTCCCAGCTCTGAAAATATGACACACTCGTAAAGTTAATTTTCACATCTGAAATTGTGAAGGGTTACTTTGCACTCAGCGCCTTGGTACGTCCTTCCGAGATGAAAGGCGCTATACAAATGTCATTTGTTGATGTTGCACCCATATCAGTAAAGAAAGATTTTCTTGTGTTCTCTGCTGAGTGCCCATATCCATTCTGACTGTACCACAAGCTCTGATTTTGCTGTTGCAAAAATTGCACAGCATTGCTGGACTCACTTTCAATGAGGTTTTGTTTCCAGGAATTCATTACCTGGAATCCGGGATCCAATTTTGCTCCCGGATCACAGTTCAACATGGGAAAATATACAGAGAAAGGTGCATAATGGTTAAAATAATGACTTTTAGAACTTGTTATGCCATCACTGGAATCACATGGGATTTTGTGGACAACTGATCCCTCTTTTCATGATGTTGATATATTAAAACGTCAAATAAGGCCTTACGTAAAGTTATTCCCACTAAAATAAATCCATCTGATGTTTGATCTACATGTCTGTCAAATTATTCCTTCAAATTTTTATCGTCTGAGTGTTGAGAAAGCTCTGACCTTCTGTGCAAGTTTGACAGAGAATATTATGGATATCATCTGCCTCACACAAAATAATCTCCAGAAGCTTGACAAATCAACAGAAACCTGTCAGTGAGCCTCTGATAACATTGAATTAGCATCAGCAGGACAAGAAGTCAATGACATGTGAAAACAAGATCATAAGATGTGAGTCATCAACTGGACACTTTATTGCAAGAGGTTGAAGTCAGATTCCAAGCTGTCTAGGTTGAACGTCTAATGTAAAACTAGAAAAACACTACATTATTGGAGACACTATTCTTAGGATGAGCGGTCAAATTAAGGTCCTGTCTGCATGCTCAGGTGGATCTTCACAAACCGTGAAGGGAGTTTCTCGTGATGTCCTGGCCAGCAAACATCCAGATAAATTGGTCAAATTGAGCGTTCGTTACTTGATGACTGTATGTGGGACATTGTAGTGTGCAGACTGGCTGTTGAACATAAGGACATAAGAATAATAAGGTTTGATAGACGAAAGAAGATCAAGGTCCATTCAGTTCGCCTTCCACCATCCTGGAAGTCACTTGACATGTCATGTGCCCAATTATACCCTCCTCTTCGACCGTACCTTCAGCCACCCTCCTACCCTTCACCCTCCCTGATCCCAACCCCACTCGGGTCTAATCCCTGACTGTTCAGTGCCTTGGGATGTCATCCCATCATGAAAGGCACTTTACAACTGTAATTTTGTATTGCATTGTACCCCGAGATATTATTATCTTGCAGAAATCTATCTAATTTGTTTATGAAACAAACAACACACTCTGCTTCTGCCGTATTCCTAAGGAGCCTGTTCCATATGTTTACTACTCGCTCACTGAAATAATGTTTCCGCAGATTTCTTATGAATTTACTCTCCTTCAATCGCAGGCCGTGTTCTCTGGTTCTACTGTTCAGTACAATATAAAACAGCTTATCATAGTCTACATTATCTAGTCCCTTCAGAACCTTAAAGATTGTAATAATTTTTTGCATTAGCCTTTTGACATTTCAGTGTTATAAGTGCTATACCAAATGCAAAGATTATAATTATTAATAATAAGATAATATTGCTCCTCCAGATTCAGCACAAACGTGTTAAATCAGAGTATAGAAGCAAAGCACCTCCATCTTGAAATTGGAGAGGAACTTGAAACCATGCAAAATCCTTAAAAACTGAAAAGAAGTCTAACAAATGTTAAGAGCAGCACATCTCTAAAGGAAGGGATGCGGTGATTCAGAAAAAACAGTGGTTGAGAAATAATCTTAAAATCCGATCCAGAGTGTAGTGGAAAAGCAAACAAAGGTGCATTCTAGCAATATCAAAGCATTATCCATATTAGCTTCACCACATGTAAAGGATAGACATTCATAGGATCTCAAAGCTCCCGGTTAAACTGGATGTAATGAAGAAACTGCCAGGAACAGGATTAGGTGGTGAGCTATTGCTCTGATATATGTCAAATAACAATGAAATAATACTTTATTTGTGTTTAAATATAGGGGGTAAATTAGCAGTCTTTCAATGTGATAATTATCTCTATGTGATTAGCTGAATTGGAAAATTATATAGCAGGGCTTGAGGAGAGCACAATTTTCACATTTCTTCGCCAGATAATGGCCAAAAGATGATAAAACAAAAATAAGGTAAAAGTCGGTCTGGCTTCTACAATTTAAAAATTACATGTTTTGTCTATTTTTAAATAACCCGACTGAGTTGAAAATGAACAGGAGGAAGCAGTCATTCTCCAGAGATAACAGTGGTTTTCAGTGGCAGGCAATTCTCCAAACAGACGATGCATGTATTATTAAACACACAAAAAAAATCACAAATTCTGTCCTGGTGATAAATGTCACCGACAATAGTGACGATAGGTTATCAAATGCTGCTAATTTACCCTCATAGTTGAACTTTGAGAATGGAGAAAGATTTTTTCAAGCAGTATAAATTATGGAATAGTGTGAAATCCCAAGAATTAGTGCTGGAGAATCACCAATAGGCTGGAACAATAAACTCTTTCCCATCACTGAACAAACAGTCTGGATTCTATTAAACAATAATCCAGTGTTCAAAGCAAAGAGTTGGAAAGGAAAGTGAGGAAAATGTACCACCCCTGTCTCCAGCAATATATATATTTTACACTCACTGGGATACAGTGTCACAATTCTCCAGCAGCAAATACTCCTCCTGTTCATTGTCTTCTGGTTCTGCAGGGTCATGCTGACTGCTGCTGATAAAGATATCCTACAATGTAGCTACTGCTGTTATAAACCAATATAATTTCATCTTTTCAGAATACCAGTCATTTCCATACTCAGTTACCCTGGGTAACTACTGACATTCATTCATAAAGCAATCTCTCATGTGGTACTCTTGGTAGCTCCTTTAATGGTCTCGTCCTAGTAAATTAAAGAACCGCTGGGTGTAGCACCAAGCCTTCCAGACCATAAGCTTGAGGTTCTATTACCCAGACAGACTTACTTGATTTCAACCAGGAGAGCAAGAGGCCTCAGAATTGCCCTCGGAGAGGAAAATCATTCGGGTTCCTGCTCTTGATCAGTATCTAAGAAGGTGTGCGTGTGTGCGCGTTTGTGTATGTGAGAATGTCAGGTGGGGACAATTGCAATTCTTCTCCCCCACAGCCCCCATAAGGTGAGAAGCTTCCTGACCGCATGGGACCTGCAGTGTTACTGTAACTTTACAGAACAAGGTGAATTAAAAACAAATGATGTGACCTTGAAGGTGCACCATCTGCAGTACAAGCGTAAGCAGCACAAAGTGAAGTGTATTCATTTCAAATTTAAAGTTTAACAAGTTTGCACATGATTTGCTAGATCACACATAAGACTTTGAATGTTAGTAAAGAGTTAGCAACTCCACTAGCTCCCACCAGCTCTTATTAACTTTAAAATTAACTAGAATTTGGATGTCGGTTGGCAGTTCATGAAGCATTGCACATGTGCATATATACAGTACACAGTCACAATGTTCCATTTTTCTGCAATAGAAAGTTGTATACAGAAACACTCCCAGATGTTCCCCCATATGAATTGCTTTAAAACAAGTTGTTGTTGTTGGTGAGAATTTAGCACTTATAATTTATCAATGCCTCTGCAGCACTCTAAGATATAATTTGACACTTGGTCATGTAGTACACTTGGACAATAATATTTTCTATGTGCTCCATGTTACCTATTTTTGTTCTTGAGATTGATTCGCTGAATGCATATTAAATAATAATAATAATAATAATAATAATCTTTGCATTTGATATAGCGCTTTTCACGTCGGGAGGACGTCCCAAAGCGCTTCACAGAACACACTGTAAAGTGAATTGACTGTATATTTGTGGGCGAACGCGGCAGCCAATTGCGCACAGCAATGTCCCACAAACAGTCGTAGATTGAAAATGACCAATTTAATTATTGTTTTTGGTTTTTTGGAGGGCTTATTATTAGGCGTGTGGAGTAAGGAAACTTGCCCAAGGTTTCGCCCTGCCTGGAATTGAACTCAGGTCTCTCGCTTGCAAAGCGAGTGCTCTAACCACTGAGCTACAGGACTCCAAATGAGCTGAAATGGTAAGATTTGCAAACAGTATATTTTTATTCCTGGGTTATAGGAACCCTGACCAAGCAGGTTGATAACTTGGTGGAAACATCCCTGAGCTGTAAAATGTTGGGCAAATTTCCTTACTCCACATGCCTCTGTTTACCTAGCAGTAAGTAGGAACCTGGTTGTTAGTCGATTGGCAGATCGCTTTTCTGGGGGTTTATTATTATTATTAAGCAATTATTATTGCTTCAAAAATAATAATAATACTAAATTGGTCACTTCAATCCACAACTGTTTGCGGGACACTGCTGTGCACAACTGGCTACTAAGTTTCGCCCACAAAATATACAGTCAATTAATTCTACAGTATATTCTGTGTAGCGCTTTGAGATGTCTCAAAGATGTGATAAGGCGTTATATCTAATGCAAGCTTTATTATTATTATTCAAATAGTTCTTCCCAACAGTCAGCATTTCCCTGAACTGTACATAGGACTCTAGGTATAGCCTAACCATAACAGTGTATAGATTGACCATTACATCTGGAGATCTGACAATGTGATATTATCACTGATGACAATAATTATGGTGTCACATTTTTCACCCCATTAATGCAATTTAAAGGCTCATTTTGCTGTCTTTGACAGAATGCCATTAAGTCATAAATGCATCTTGCAATGGTGAGAAGTATTTTCTTTTCTTTTTCAGATTAAATGTAGAGTTTTTTGCTTTAAATTGTACTATTTTCTAGTCTGGAATCAGTTAAATTATTGGTAAGGATAACTTCTCCCAAGATCATGTGTCATGTTCTTGTTTTGAATTAAAATGTGTCCAAACCTTTGTGCAACAATAGAGTAGAAAAACAAGCTTCCACTGGAAGAATTTGGATGTGATATTTTACTTATCGGGTGTTAAGGCCCTTCATCCAGCAATTTGTTATGAAATACCTTCCATTACTGAGCACTTAAAACCACAATATGTGCTAAGAACCGGCAGCTTTTCTTGCTACTGGTGGTAAACAAACTTAATCAATGCTCAGCTAGAATAATCAGTCTAGCATTTTAGACAAGCAGAAAACAAGCCCAGTGAATCTCAAAACACTAGAAATTCCTCATAATAATGTTAGCTTTAAGACTACTAGCACAAAATATTTAAGCCCTTGCAAAATTTTGGAAAACGCTAAAAATTCAGTCCTTAGTATTAAATCTAGACTTCATTTTTATAAAGTGAAGACAACCAGCTTTCAAATTAAGACAGAATTTAAAATTCATCGAAAATTCTGCACAATCTTAAAATGTGAATGGGTCTAAAAGCAAATAAATCTTCCTTTCAAGAAATTATTCCCATTTTGACCTGGCATCCGGTATTTCAGTATTTTATAAGTTTACCTCTTACTGTCCTTTGTTCTGCTTGAAAGCAATGATTAAACAATCAGAACTTTCTATCTATTCTGGGAAATGCATACAGAGCAGGATAGCAGAACTTCAAGTTAACAGTGCTCCAACCCTTGCTTGCCCTACTGACAATATAGTCATCCAGATTTTGCTTCATGCGCTCTCTTTGAGTTCAGATACATACCTAGCATTTTCTGTCCTCTTGCTTATGCACTGATGCAGGAATAGGTAGTCCTGTGGGGCACTAGGTGAAAGAATGGGCTGAACCTGAATAGGATTTTCAAATGTGAACACTGATGGTTGGCTGGTATGCAAAGAGGCCTGGAATCCATGGTCTCCAATGAGAGTCTGTACAGACCCACCAAAGTCAGGGGGGTATGAATGGGGAGTCTGAGATCCAGTGGGAACATTCCTCGCAATATCTGGAACAGAACAAACCAAAAAGTCACTTCAGTCAGTAAATTGATTTCTATAAACTGCCCACAATTTAAGAAATTATAGAATTTCTTTGTTATTTAGTATATAAAACTATATAACATATATATCCTCAGAATTTTAAAATGCAAAAATAGATAAGAAATAACCTATCCCCAACAATAATTTTGTATTTGAATATATCAGTATAATAAATATATCATAAATAATAATCCTTGCATTTGATATAGTGCCTTTCATGTAAGGAGGATGTTGCAAAACTCTTCACATGATTTACTGTACGTGTAGTGACTATGTATTTTGTAGGTAAATGCAAGTCAATTTGTACACTGTTACAAAACAGGAAGTGAATAATCAATTTTATAATAATAATAATCCTTACATTTGATTAGGGCTTTTCATGTCTACAAGACATGAAGTGCTTTATAGAGTTTACTGTAAATTGTAATGAATATGTAGTTTTCAGGCGAATGGCTGGGGGAACTCCCTTCTGTTTCTGAATAGTGCCACGGGATCTTTGATGTCCACCTGAACAGGGAGACGGTACCATAGTTTAATGTTCATCTAAAGAACAGCACCTCCGACAATGCAGCGCTCCCCAACACTATGTTAGATTATGTGAGTTCAAAGCTGCAAAGTGGGGCTTGAACCCATAAGCTTCTGATCTGTAAGCGAGAGTGCTACAAATCTACACCTAAAATTAGCCCTGCACTAAAACCTTAGGTTTGAGTCATGGCATTCCAATTAAAAAAAAATCTAGTCATTGCACATTTCTGTGCAACAACTCAACAAAACCTACTTAGGAAACACTACAAGTTTGAATATAATTTGATTATTTGGTTGTTATCTCTGTGTTGCTTGAGATGATCTGAGTTCAGGATTAAGGACTGTACATCAGTCGCAAAAGTTTCAGTAAAAGCATGCATTTCCCACAGGAGAAAAGTCAATAATGTTTAAAACATCTATGCATTGATTTTTGTGCTTTAAAAAAGGAATTACCATCCTATCTGGCCCGTGCAGTTGAAAGCCATTCATTCAGAGGGCCAAACCTATTTGTTCCTATTAGCTTGTGCAAAGAGATCTCAGTTGACAGAAATTAACCAAAATAAAGATGTGAACAATAAATGCAAAATATATTGGGGTGTCATTTAGCCCTTACATAATTGACTGGTTACAAGATTATCTAGCATGTATATATTGCTTTGGCTAAGATAGGCTGGATTCCAAATACAAAAGTGCAGCACAAACATCCTTTGCTGAAATGTAGTGCACTGTGATAAGCTTGTTCAATGCTTAATAGGGAAACATAGGATACTTCACACAAGATAATTGAAAATTACAAGTATTACAACTTGTTATGAAACATTGCATTTTTCATTCCATTCCTAAAGACTTGCAAAAAACATAACAGGCATTTACACAAAAACACAGATGGTTATGCTTCAATCTCGTGAAATAGTTCACATTTCCAGTAAGTGCCATATCGGTTCCTGTGGTGGTACTTCTCACTTGAGTGGAAACCTTATGCATTAATAATTGGGCTGGATTTTAATACTATATTTAGATGGGTTATTTTAACTTAAAGGGGACTCATCAGCATTTTGAGGAGAGAAAAAATCAAGAAGGGACATAGATTAATCTCATCGTGATTCTCTAATGTGCATGTGATATCTCAGATGATTAAGCAAAACAGGCTTCAGGGGGAGTCCAAGATATGTGAAGAGAGTTATAAAGCACAATATAATTTACGTTTATATAATGCCTTTCACACAAAGAGAAATGAAACTTGTTGTAACAGTCCTGGAACCATAATGTCCAATAACAGACTAAACAACTTTCATTTATATTCAAGTACTTTGAGACATTCTCTTTATGTCAAAGGCATTATATAAACGTAAATAGTATTGTGTATTGTATAGCACTTGGGCTTCTAATTGAGAGGAAGCAAGGAAGACCCCTGACTAAATTAAGACATTTCAAGCAAAGGTTCAGAAGGGATAGATGTTGAGCATAAAGAAATAAACTAAAAAAGAACCTTGCCTCTAAATTACAAATAACGATAAGAAGTTTCCACATTCCAGTGCTATCTTAAATTTTACGACAAAATGGTCTCACATGCTAAGTCTAGGTGGAATTTCAGGCCTCAGAAATCCCTTTCCTCCATCCTTTTCTATCAAGGTGCTGACTCTTTGAAGTATGCTTCACAGGCACTGGGTACATACTGGTCCCTTGTCAAAGTATCAAAGTGGGTTTGTATGAGTCTGTCAGCCAGTAATTTGACTGTGGAGGGAAGAAAGTGTGTCATCTTGTCTTTGCCTAAGTGTGATGTGTACATTTTCTAAATTAGGTAAGCAGGATGAGTCCCTCCAGGGAAAGAGTGCACATTCCATTCCAACAGTCTACCTCTGGGATTTCCATGTGTAGGTGGGATGCCTGGAAATACTAGATTGGTTTAATACTCTTAAGCATGGTGATGGGTTTCCGAATGTGTCAAGACACCAAGCTGATCAAAAAAACAATTCTTGCAAAAGTGACTGGGAAGCAATAATGGAATCCTGACTGAAATGTCACCTCACTAAACTTGGGGTAATGAAATCAATGTTAGCTGACACAGTAATAGAGGCACTAAGATCAGCTGACAGACCAGCAACTCTCTGGTCTGTATGACCCAGTGATACACTGGAGAGTGCCTCTATCCACATTGAGTGAGCTTACTACCGAATAATGTATCTTGATTAAATAACATTCCAGAAAGGAGAAGGGAGTTTCTTCATGAAGGTCAATAATCTTGCAGATTAATTGATCTAGGAAGATAACAAACATGGTTTCTGACAGACTGATTTCAATCATTCCGAAAACAGAACGATAGGAATTTAAATGGAAAATGTGCAGCTGAGCCTTTGATTATTGAAACATTGACTATGTTCCTTAATTGAGGAATCTAGAAGCAAATCATATCAACTCAAAGAGACTGCACTCTCACATAATCTACTTTCGGAGTTTGGTGTCGTACTTCTGATTACCAAAAGGAGTCCCCACCTGACTCCTTAATAAAGGAATCCTGCTATAAATCACCACATGTTAGACTCCATTGATGTCAATGATTACTATCAATGGGTACAATAGGTTTCTCAGCCTGAGAAATCAATTCAATGATTTCTGATCTTTCTCGAAAGAACACAATATGAATTATGGTTGCTTTGGATTTGCATTCAATTTTTTTTTCACCCTGTTACTTAAGTTACCAAACTTAATGCTGCAAAATCTGGTTTAAAAAGGAAACAATGGTTCTGAGAGAGATTTGCTTTTTCTCTCAAATTAGTTAAAAAGAATTACTTATTGCTTTTGCAGTTATGTTCTGTTCCTTATCCTCACCATTTTTTTTGCATGTTTGAATCTTTGACCAAAAAGGTGCCTGATGGAATCAAAAAGAATGTAAGAGATGAATAAATCCTGGAGTCCTGTAGCTCAGTGGTTAGAGCACTCGCCTTGTAAACGAGAGACCTGGGTTCAATTCCAGGCAGGGCGAAACCTTGGGCAAGTTTCCTTACTCCACACGCCTAATAATAATCCCTCCAAAACAAAACAATAATAAATTGGTCATTTTCAATCCACGACTGTTTGTGGGACACTGCTGTGCGTAATTGGCTGCCATGTTTCGCCCACAAATATACGGTCAATTCACTTTACAGTTTATTCTGTGATGCGCTTTGAGATGTTGAGAAGACGTGAAAAGCGCTATATCAAATGCAAGGATTATTATTAAATCCAGGATAGGAGGCATTATGCATGGGGAAAATCTGAAAAAATACAGTCAGGTTTGTAGGTGGCAATTATCAACATAAGTTTGTAGAGCTCCCAATCGTATCAAGCTATAATTTCAGTCAAGTGGCCATGACCCCAAAACAATGCTGCTGAACCATAATGAGATGTAAAATTTCAATGAATATAGATACAACAAATGTCTGAATCTACCAACCCTCGAACCATTATTACGATTGGTTTTAAAATACAGGATAAAATATACTTTCACTGTTTTTGTTGTTGCAGTCTATCACAATGCAACTGCCAAGTGGTGCAGAAGTAATTTGAGATTCAATGACTTAGTCATTTTCTTCCCTAATTATAATTATTTCATAAAGGTTGTGTTTTAAAAACAAGTCCTAGTGCTAAAAATACTGGAAGATTCATAGCTATGAGCAGAAATGTCTCAGGAGATCTAAATAATAATAATAATCCTTGCATTTGATATAGCGCTTTTTACGTCGGGAGGACGTCCCAAAGCGCTTCACAGAACAGACTGTAAAGTGAATTGACTGTATATTTGTGGGCGAACGCGGCAGCTAATTGCACACAGCAATGTCCCACAAACAATCGTAGATTGAAAATGACCAATTTATTATTGTTTTGTTTTTTTGGAGGGATTATTATTAGGCGTGTGGAGTAAGGAAACTTGCCCAAGGTTTCGCCCTGCCTGGAATTGAACCCAGGTCTCTCGTTTGCAAAGTGAGTGCTCTAACTACTGAGCTACAGGACTCCACTAAATAAATTAGTGCAGAACACCATGAAAGTGACAGAGAATGCACAGATGGAAGAACAGATCACTACTTAACAGAGAAAAAAATACAACATAGGACTAACTTCATCACTTGGACTTGAATATTTCATTTAAATATTTCTGTATCCAAAAATGCAGAACAGCATGCGATACAATTTTGTCTGGTCAAAAAGGATTGCAACATCAATTTTTGACAATATTTCAAAAATATTGAAATATTCTTGAATATGCAATGTAATGCAATGTCTGAATATTACAAAAGGTTGAAGGCTTACATCAGGAATTGAGCTCAAAGTCTAGGCTGAAACTCCAGTGCCTTATTGGGGGATCAATTAGATGTATTGTCTTTCAGATGAGGTATTAAACCAAGGTTCTGTCTGCTTGTTCAGATGGATGTTAGAGACCCCATTAAATTATTTGAAAAGAGAA